AATTAGTATAGGCCTCAAAGTATGTCTGTTAAACATCCAATAAGGTTAGCTCCACCAGTCTGGTACTTTTAATTACTGTGTGCCATGTAGATAAATCTTGAATTTTTTTTATTTATTATTTCATATGTATTAGTGTATTGCCTGCATGAATGTAAGTGCACCCGTGCCATCCAGAGCCCATGGAGGACAGAAGAGGGTGTTAGATTCCCTGGAACTGGAGTTATGAATGGTTGTTAGCCACCACGTGAGTGCTGGGATTTGAATCCAGGTCTTCTGTAAGAGCAGTCAGTGCTCTTAACCACTGAGCCATCTCTCCAGCCCCCACTACCTTATTTTTTGAGACAAGGTTTCTCACTGAATCTGGAGCTCAGTGATGACTAGACTGGCTGGCCAGCAAGCCTCAGAGATCCCCTGGCTCTGCCCCTACCTAAAGCTGGGATTACATGTGCATACCACTATGCCTAGCTTTTTATATGGGTGCTGGAGATCTGAACTCGGGTCCTCATGCTTGCACAGCAAACACAGACAGCCATCTCCTCTGCCCCTAGAGCAAAAGGAATTCGTAAAGAACTACACAGAAAAGAACAGAGAAATGAAAACAGTGGGACTAAGAATGGCTGACCTGCTCATTCAAGGCCAATAACATCTAGGAAAAGATGCATGGTGTCCTGCAGTGCGGACATTGAAGTCCCCAAAGGGCCCATGTGGTAAAGGATTGGTCCCTAGGGTAGTGCTGCTGGGAGGCAGTGGAGCCTGGAAGAGGTGGGGCCTAAGAAGGGACTGTGGGCCCCAAGTATTCTCTCTCCATTCATGGCTCAAGATGGACTGTGACAAGCTCCAGTCTTTGCCATCTATTCCCCACGAGTCCTGAATCAATGAGGATCCTGGGCTTGAATCTCCTAAACTGTCATTCAATGAGACCTTTCTTCTTTATAAAATTAGTTGCCTGAGGTTATCTTGGTAGAAGCTAGTGACAGTGTCTAAATGTTCACAGAAGTCTTAATAACTGGATTACAGATGATTTTTATGTAGTTCATATATATATACACATAAATACACACACATATATATACATATATACACATATATGTACATATCTATATATCTATATATCTATATGTACATATATTGAACAAAGTTTCTTTTGTAATCCAGGAAACAGCCCCCTGGCTATTAGTTTACTCTGCTCAAATGACAGTGGCTTGGACAAAGCCTTCCAGCCCAGGGACTAGAGCATCTATCAAATAACTTGAATGAACTCCCTTTTGTGAAGAAGCTGTTTAACTTTACATGACGGCAGTGGCCAGGAGTCACATGCTCAAGTCTAGCTGAATTGAGCAAGGGTCAGATCACCAAATGAATCACCTGGTTCCGGGGGACTGTATGGGAATATACACAGTCATATTGTTAAGAATGAAATTCCAGGACTGGAGAGATGATCAGAGGTTAAGAGCCGTGACTGCTTTTGCAGAAACCTTGGTTCAGTTTCTAGCACCCAAAAAGCAGCTAACAACCATCTGTAACTCCAGTTCAAGAGGATCTAATGTCCTCTTCTGGCCTCTGTGGGCATTGTACACATGGTGGTACACTTACGTACATGCAGACAAGACACTCATACACATAAAACAAAAGAAAAGAAAAAGAAAAAAGAACAGAATTCCACAGCCTTTCTGAGGAGACACTATGTAAGGGACTTTACAAAGCTCTTGACCTGAAATTTCACTTGTAAGAATTTAACCTAAGGATGTTTATTACAGAACCACTTATAATAAAGGGTCATAGGAAATAATCCAGTTAATAATATAAAACTGGTTAAATCATGTTTTCCCTGGATGATAAGATATTATGTAACCAAAAATGACTCTGAACTACACATGCTGGTGTGTAAGGAAAGGCATGGTATACATTATATGCTATGTTGTGGTTTCATTGTGAAATGTCCCCTATGAGCTCACGTTTGCATGCCTGGTCTCCAGCTGGTGGTGCTGTTTAAGGATCTTGTGGAACCTTGGTCTCTGGGCTTAGACGACAGACACAGGACCATAGGGATGGGACGAGAGTTAGAGCTGGCCTGAGCTTGGTGTTTTCTGATCCCAGCCCCGGCTACCATGTCTTCCCTGCCGTGCAACTATGAGCTAAAACAAATCCTTCCTCCCATAAGTAGTTCCTCTTCAGGCACTGGTCACAGAGATGAGAAAAATAACAAGTAAGCTCTAATGGGGTCCCAGCACCCACATGGCAGCTAACAACTGTCCATAACTCCAGTCCCAGGGGATCCAACAGCCTCTTCTGACCTCTGTGGGCATTGCATGACACAGGTGCACTTACCTACATGAAGGCAATACATGCACACACATAAAATTTTAAAAAATAAATAAAATTAAAAAATATATAAATAAATAAACAGTAGACACAGACCTAAAAAAGGCAAGGCAAGACACACACACACACACACACACACACATACACACCCCGAAAATTAAAAGGTGTTAACAGTGCAAAACTCTTTGCTTTGCTTCCCCACAAACATGCATGCATTCC